GGTGGGGACCAGAAACGCCTTTTGGTACCAAAAACGCCTCTGGGACGTGTCTTTAAGCTGAACTTCCTCATGGCGGAGCGCACCCCTCCCCACTCCCCACACACCCCGCCCATGACTCCTGCAGGCTCTCGGGTGAAAGTGAAAGTGAAACCTAACTGTCTGCTGAGCTCTCAACATTAGTTCTCACTCAGTGAAGCTCTTTTCAGATTAAAAATACCTTTGAGGAAATGTATTTTCAGATGCCAAGTAAACTGCATCATAGCAGCCCCATGAAATGGGCAAAACAGAAGCAGAAGGAGGTTCTTAAAGAGACAGAGGCCAATTTCAAGGTGTTTAGAAGAGGAAGTGATGAGAAGATAAGTTTATTTTCTAGTTAAACATAAAAACAGCATTTTAATAACAACTAAAGTTGACATAGATACTTTATTATGGTATAGTATTTGAATATATGCCTGAGAAACACATAATATTGGCCCTTTAAAAAAATTCTATGTATAAATATGTTTTACCTCACATTGGGGGTCCCATCTTCATTTTTATTAATATGGTCTTCGACCTGAATGATAAAAACATCCACAGTCAGTTTCTTGTAAAACATCCTCTTTTATTCTCTTCAAAACTTAAAATGATTAAGTTTGTAGTGATTTTTAGGTTTGTTTGTATTTTTCAACACTTCCTCAGTTATCAGCTTCTAGTTCGAGTCTTTGTTACACGACACACCCCAGGAGGAACAACCAGGAGCCTCATGTACTGTGCCAGAGTCCAACTTTCATACTGAAAATTGGCATGAGGATAAACCGTAAACACTGTGTACGCACAAAAATATTCAGATTTATCAACAACAGGGTTCCTGCAGATTTTTAAAAAGTCTTAAAAGTCATTGAATTCATCAATCCAAAAATAAGGCCTTAATTAGCCTTAAAATGTCTTAAATCAATCTTTCAGAAGTCTAAAAAATGTTAACACATTGTACATAGGATGATTGTAATTCATCTCAAATATTAAAATAATTGCTAAAAAATATTTTTAAATATTCACATGCAGACATTCCCCTTTGACATCACTTCCTGTTACTTCACATGCAAATATCTCAACAACTGTTTATCTGAGCAATGTGAAATTAGTTTTGTAATATGTTAATAATGTTGTCTATCCAAAAATGCATTCACTTTTCTTACAAAAATTATGTCACTTTAAGGTTTCATCTACAGCAAATTGGGGTTAAGACCCCTCTGTGGGTCCTAAAACTACAAATTTTGGGTCGTTAGAGCATTTTGCTGAAATTTAATTAAGTTTAAAACTGACTGCTAAGAATGTTTCTGCTGTAGTCAGATATGGATAAAAACAACTGGTCTATTAGCAATATTTTAATACTTCAACCAAAAATACTTTGATTCATGAGTTTCTGACAGTTTTTATTTTTTTGYCATTTGTGTTTATTATGAAATTGGTCTCAAATTTAATTTCTCTTGGCATTAAAAAGTCTTAAATTTAGCTTGCTTTAAACTGTAGGAACCCTGAACAAACATGGAACTGAGCACACCTCCACCTGACACGCCTCAGTTTAAATATGCAAATAAATGCAAATCTGTCATGTGTGATTATCCTAAATAAGGTGGGGTGTAAAAACTTTTAATGCCCCTTTTCCATGGTGGAGTGTCGGAACGGTCGGTGTAGGTACGGTTCGGACCGGTTGGTTTTCCACTGATGTTCCAGTCCGGTTCCAGTGGGTGTGTTTTGGGCGGTCAGTGGAGGTGGTTTTAAGGTTTTTGGAAAAAAAAAATTAATGGGCAAAATGAGAGACAGAAACACATTTGATGAATAACTTTTGAAATTTTAAAAATTTGCAAAAATTTCGAATTAAAATTGAATGGAATCACAACTAATGTCACTGCTACAATTGAAAAAATGGTTCCTTGAGTTGTTCTTGTAAAGGCAGCTTAGACACAACCAGTGACTCCGCCCCCTAGCCAATCAGTGATGAACAGTGTTCTGACGTCGCATTTTGGTGTCAGCTGGTGCTGCTTGGAACCACAATGAAGTAGGTACTAAAAAAAGGGCTGGTTCCATGAATCTGGCCTAATGGAAATGGCTTGGAACCATACCGAACCGTACCNAAAAAAAATTAATGGGCAAAATGAGAGACAGAAACACATTTGATGAATAACTTTTGAAATTTTAAAAATTTGCAAAAATTTCGAATTAAAATTGAATGGAATCACAACTAATGTCACTGCTACAATTGAAAAAATGGTTCCTTGAGTTGTTCTTGTAAAGGCAGCTTAGACACAACCAGTGACTCCGCCCCCTAGCCAATCAGTGATGAACAGTGTTCTGACGTCGCATTTTGGTGTCAGCTGGGGCTGCTTGGAACCACAATGAAGTAGGTACTAAAAAAAGGGCTGGTTCCATGAATCTGGCCTAATGGAAATGGCTTGGAACCATACCGAACCGTACCAACACTACATTAAGTGGCACTAGTGGAAAAGTTGTTCCATGAACAGAGCACACCTGCACACATGATGAAAAACTTAAATATCAGAGTAAATAATAATAATAAWAAATAGCAGAGTCCAACTCCCTCCCTAATGGGGTCCAACTTACTGCCAGCAATGCAAACCAAACTCTAGCACCAATTATGACCCACAATGACATAAACAAATCACCGCCCACAGTGTATTTCGAGGAACACGGTCGAATACCTTCTCCATGCCCATAAAACACAGTCTGGATGGGCAAAATCCCGTGAYCGCACAAGGATCCTAGTGAGGGTAAAGAGCTGGTCCAGTGTTCCACAGCCAGGATGGAACCCACATTGGTCCTCTAGAATCCGAGATCCGACCATCGATTGGCCTCTCTTCTGCAGCCCCTTTGARTAGACCTTACCGGGGAGGCTAAGGAGAGTGATGCCCTTATTATTGGAGCACACCCTCTGGWCCCCCTTTTTGAAGWGGGRAACCACCACCTCAGTCTGACAATCCAGYGGGACTGCCACCGATGTCCACGCAATGTTGMAGRGGCTYGTCAACCAGGACAGCCCCACAACATCCTGAGCTTTAAGGCAATCAGGAYGGAGCTCGTCCACACTCAGACCCCTGCTGCCATGAAACTTTTTAACTACCTCAGCTGAATATGAACAGACTAAGCCTGATGTCGCTGGACTCAGACTCCTCTGTGGAATATTTATCAGACATAAAGGTGGGACTAAAGGCATGGACAGCTGCTCATCACCTCTCATCCACTGATGTTAGCCACCACTTGTTTTCCATCAATTACACACTTTATTATTGTAAACGAAGGAAGGGTCACAGATCTGCCTACAGAGAACTTCTGAGGATGAGGCATTACCAACTTTACCTGTGTTTAATAACATCATTTCTGTATAAACAGAAGAACTCTGARGTTTGGAAGAACTTAAGACTTATTTATTAAAGAGTTGACATTTAAAGAAATGAGTCGCTGCTCTTTAAGTGAGCATTTCAGCACCAGTGTAGGAGGATTTGATATAGTATCTGATGCATGCAATCTTTTTGTGCATACACAGCATTCATACATTAGGCTCATGACTGTTGGTTTGTTGGTTTGTTTGTTGATTTGTTGGTTTGTTTGTTTGCTTGTTTGTTGGTTTGTTGGTTGGTTTGTTGGTTTGTTTGTTAGTTTGTTGGTTTGTTTGTTAGTTTGTTGGTTTGTTTGTTAGTTTGTTTGTTAGTTTGTTGGTTGGTTTGTTTGTTAGTTAGTTTGTTTGTTAGTTTGTTGGTTGGTTTGTTTGTTAGTTAGTTTGTTTGTTAGTTTGTTGGTTGGTTTGTTTGTTAGTTAGTTTGTTTGTTAGTTTGTTTGTTAGTTTGTTAGTTTGTTTGTTTGTTAGTTAGTTTGTTTGTTAGTTTGTTGGTTGGTTTGTTGGTTGGTTTGTTGGTTTGTTTGTTAGTTTGTTGGTTTGTTTGTTAGTTTGTTGGTTGGTTTGTTTGTTAGTTAGTTTGTTTGTTAGTTTGTTGGTTGGTTTGTTGGTTGGTTTGTTGGTTTGTTTGTTAGTTTGTTGGTTTGTTTGTTAGTTTGTTGGTTGGTTTGTTTGTTAGTTAGTTTGTTTGTTAGTTTGTTGGTTTGTTTGTTTGTTTGTTGGTTTTTCTGTTGGTTGGTTTGTTTGTTGGTTGGTTGGTTTGTTGGTTGGTTTGTTAGTTGGTTGGTTTGTTTGTTTCTTGGTTTGTTTGTTCGTTGGTTGCTTTGTTGGTTTGTTTGTTGGTTGGTTTGTTGGTTGGTTTGTTGGGTTGTTGGTTGGTTTGTTGGTTGGTTTGTCTGTGCTCTTTGGTCGTTGGGTTTGTTGAAGTTTGAAGGTCAGGATAAAGAAGAAAGTTTGGTTTTACTAATTTATGTCAAAAATACAATCTGTTTTGTTTCAGTAAAAGTCTAAAAACCAGTCAGAGTGCATGTATGTGAGTTAGGATTAAAATGATATCTGACTGAGCATCATTTATCAGGATACTTGGTGACTCCATTCACTCACCAACTTGCACTTGATGTCATTAATTTCTTGGTATATGATGAGACTGTAGGCCTTCTCCTGTGTAAACGTCTGACGGCACGTTGTCTTTGCACCAAGAGTAACTTCAATATCGAGTTCTTTGCTGGAATCCTGGAGATGGAGCAGCTTGTACTGCGGAGGGTCCTGACACACAGAAACCAAGAGGTCAATGTTCATTTTAATAACTGCATAAGAAATCAAGAAATGCAACACATCACTGACAAAACAAGCGACTAGTTCATAAATCTAATCAATCTGACCAAAATGATCGACTCTGCTAAAGATAACACYACCTGATGGTACTGACAAGTCTGAGATACAGGGGAGACAAAAGGGAAATTGTTTATCAAAACTTAMAAAAAAAATTCAGCATACTTTTATATCAATGTTTCATTAATTAGATTTACTGTATTTGCATTCAAAGATGTTATGAAGTTTTGTGTTCTTGGAAACCATTCAGTTACTTTTACAATGCATGTTTATTATTTCTCTGACAATAAAGTAAAATAATTAATAAACAAATATTAACCTAAAATCCTAACCAGGACCAGGTCTGCAAACTAACCTCAGRCTAAAAGAAATTTACCATGTAACAATTACATTTATCCTTGCTGTTTTAAAGATTATTTCTGTAGTATTCTTTCAGAAAAATAAACCCTAAATTATGTGTGAATATGAATATATGTTTTAATATGTTTTTATTTCTGAACACCATAAAAAGGTTTACAAGTTGGTTGATCAGACAGAAATTACACCTCTGTTCTTAAAGGAACAATTCGTGTGTATTTTTCACAAAATAAGATGTTTATAACATCCTAGCTTTATCTCATTTATAGTTTAAGTTTTTTAAGTATTCTGTAAGTAAAGGGATTACACAACTTTCCTAAACTCAAATYGAAGGATGCAAAGACTATTCCAGCATCATATTCTGGTTATATTTATACTCAAAATGAAATTATTTCATTATATCTCAACACATTAAATTTTTAACATGTTTTAATGTAACATTCACAG